CACCCAATTTCGTTTTAGGTGATGAAGGACTGGTAGTACAATTTTCCCACAATGTTATGAGTAGAGTTGACCAAATAGAGTGAATACCTCTCATTTGACTGATTTACTGGTAGTCTCGAAACTCTACTCAAATACAAAGTTAAACCAATTCTAAACGCCTCGCAGACGTTTCTTCAAAGCCTGCTCTCAATCGTGGTTTCGTTGTCTGGTTGTCCGCTGGTCTCGACCTTCCGAGCTCCTCGTGCCACATGAAGTGGCAGCAAAAATCAGAGACAATTGCCTCCCCAATCGCCGCTGTCCTAGACTCAGTTGCTGAGAGGTTGCCCAGTCGGACCACCAAAAAGGCATCAAGCCAGAAGCAAACTTTAAACGAGACGAGCCTACCGATACACACACACACACACACACATGCACGTAGGCAGTCAGGCAGGCAGACAGAGATACATGTTTGCACATGCATGCCTAGACAAGTCATACAAACGGACATTTGAGGCAAGAAACGCACAAACTGATGGAGCCAGTTGGACGTAGAGGATGGACATGTGGGAAAAGGAAAAGGTGTGTGTGTGTGTGTGTGTGTGGGTGTGTGGGTGTGGGTGAATTGGGAGTAGGAAAATGTGTGTATAAATTGGCACAAAGACATTTCTGCTTTTTATTCTCTTGGTAGGACGCATTTTCTACTTTCTCTCTTTCGCGTCAGGTACATCAAAGGTCGACGCTAAAAGGCAAGAATGTTGACGACCGGCAAGATAAAATCGTGCTTGTCAATTTTATGCCAATTGGAGTGGTCCGGCCGCAAAGCCGACATGTCCAGTCTGCACAACTGTCCACGAGGAGGGAGTGCCTCTGTGTTTGTGCGTGTGTGTGTGTATGTGTATGTGTGTGTGTGTGTGTGTGAACATGCTTGTGCATCCGAGGGGAGCTTGAGCATGCGAACAAAGCATGCAAGCCTCTCGGACCGCCTTGTGTACCTCGCATCTTCGTATGCTCCACCACGAGACGATGCGAAACGGAGCGCTGCGATGCGATGCAGAGTAGAACGGAGCGGAGCGGAGCAGAGCTGAGCTGAGCCGGCATCTGGCGACGTAATTCGCCGGACGGCAGGATTTCAACTTGTCGCCTCTTTCGGACATGCTTACCTGGACTCTGTTCATATTCTTGTTCACTTCCCTCTTTCCCTCGCTCTCTCATTCTTTACTTCTTTTTCACACACACACACACACAATCAGGCATACTCAAATGTGTAGACAAAGCGCAAATATGCATTGCTTTGTGGATGCCCATCCATAAGTGAAGTGGGTAGAAGGCCTTATGATGACGATGGCTCAGTGTTTCACCAGTGTCGTCTTGCGGTACGGATATTTGTATGTATGTATGTATGTATGTATGCATGCATGTTTGTGTGTGTGTGTGTGTGTGTGTGTGCGAAAGACAGATGCCGGGTGATAGTAATATGTTCGACTTGGACCCGAATCTTATATGTGTTTGTGTGTGTATGTGTGTTGGTTCACGTGAGGAGAAGAGGTAGACGAAGAAAGCGGAATAAATTCGCTACAAAGGGGATCGGGAAATGGCGGTAAATGTGCCTATTTCATACCCGATTTGTCCTATCGTAGGGCCGTACAACTTGCTTCCACGTCTCACTGCAAACGAGCCTGAGAAAAGCCGGGTGGTGAAAAATGTGGAGTCTGGAACCTGTGCAGCGGACTTTGGTAGCACCATGACAGAGCCGGTGACCGACGCGTTTGCAAGCCTCACAAACTCGTTGTCGTACATTCTTACTTTGCTCTCTTTCTCACACTATGCTGCGCCTCTCACTTTATCCCCACAACCTGCCACATGTAGGCTTGAATAGTGCGGCCGATCACTTTGGCCTCCGCTACCGCAAGGAGATGTCATCAGACCGAGCCGGGCTCAAGAGGCATGACGGCCCCAGCCAACCAGTCAGACTTGCACCCATCGAGAGGAGTAAATGGGCACAACTTAAAAGACCAACCGAAGGTACGGGGAGACGCAGGAATAGAAGACAAACCGACTGAACGAGAGAGAGAGGCACCGAAGCAGTTGGACAAACAGACAGAAAGATAGATGGCTAGCTAGCCATTTTGTATAGACATACTTATACAGGTAACTATGTAGGCAGGTAGGTTGATGATTAGATAGAAAGATGAAGATAAAGAGGCAGAGAGAGTGAAAGAGAGATAAAGTGAGAGAGATGGCGATAGATAAAATAGTTATATAGATAGATGAATAGATAAATAGATGGTTGGATAGATAAATGGATGGATGGATATATATTATTTCATATATATATATTTCATATATATATATATATATATATTAATCCAGCCAATCCATATATATATGTATATATATATATAGCTATTTATCTATCTAGCCACCAATCTATATAGTCATTCATCCATCCATCCATCCATTTATCTATCCAACCATATATATATATATATATATATGGATAGATGAATAGATAAATAGATGGTTAGATGGATAACTATATAGATAGATGGCTAAATAGATAAATGGCTATATATACATATATATGGATCAGCTGGATGAATATATATATATATAATTTCATATATATATATATATATATATGGCTATATGGATAGATGAATAGATAAATAGATGGTTAGATGGATAACTATATAGATATGTGGCTAAATAGATAAATGGCTATATATACATATATATGGATCAGCTGGATAAATATATATATATATAATTTCATATATATATATATGTGGCTATATAGATTGATGAATAGATAAATAGATGGTTGGATGAATGCCTATATAGATAGGTAGCTAGATAGATAAATGGCTATATATATAGATATATATGGATTGGCTAGATGAATATATATATATATAAGTAGATGGGCAGGTATGCAGGTAGGTAAACAGATTGACCGACCTATCTGCAATTAGATGAACAACCATACAAGCAAACGGGCAGATAGACGAACAGGCAAAAAGAGATGTCTATGTAGACGGATAGATAGACAGATATATCGAAGA